ATTTTGTTTGTAGTATAATAAATTAATTTAATGTCAAATTATGATAAAGTAATGAGTTGTAATATAGTGACAAAATATGTTGTATTGGGTGTTGTGCTCCATCCTTTGTATAACATATATGGAGTATTTTTGTTACTCCCGGGACAATGCTCAAGAGGGCTGCCTCCGCCTATGTCGAAACTACAAGTTGTAAGAAAGAATTTCGACTTAATTATTTGGTTTAGGAAATAATTATCTACCCTTTTACACAGAAATTAGATAGAAAAAAACACAAAAGAAAAATTGTTCTACATAAAATTCCGATTTCACACACACTGAAAAGGACCTAATTCACTACTCATTCAGATCGTAGTCACCCCAATTTTCTAATATCTTCTACATGTGAACACACCCTTTCAGAAGAGATACTGTTTCGTGATCTCCTAACCCCACCAATTAGTGCTCCACATCTCCAAATGTGCCTTCGTCATGCATCAACTTAGACCTTAATTGTCTACCAAAAGAAAAACTTAGCCCTTTAATTTCTTGATGGATCTGACCTAATCCCAGATATCACAGACCAACACGATCAAATCCTCTACTTAATTACACATAGCAACAGCTAGCTATATGCCTATATAGCTTCATCACCTGCAGCTGTCCCCCTTTCTTTCGCCGCAGGTAGTGGGTCAATAATGGAAATATATTCCTCCGAGAGTTGACCACACATGTCACTGCCGGCCAGTTAAACCTGATAATAATCGGTGTGGGTCATAAAATCAGGTGGAATACGATTGGTCTGATCGATCTTTGACCTTTTAAAAAAATGACAGTTGGTTTAGTGAATTTGAAAGTTAAATATTGATATTATTTGTCGGATTCAAATATAAATATGTGAATGTTCATGTTAAATTTTGTGCACAAATATAAGTATTTGTTGTTTTGTTTGAAATATTGTATTTTTTTAAATACGAATGTAGATTGTAAATAAATTGTCTTGAAATATGTTTTTCTATATGTTTAAACTTTAAATTCATTTTACGTTACTGATTTTTTTATATATTTTCACATAGTTTTTAAATCAACCCAAGTCGGTGTAATACAATTGTACCACCGATCCCACCATATCACTTACTAAATTGATTTAACGGTATAAACGGGTTTAACAACCTTCCCATTTGGCCCACATCATCCCAACAATAATCCATCTTATCTTTGTTATACAATATGCACTCGTGAATCACGAGTGGAACAAAATACTCATACGAACCACTATATATATCAATCAATGATTACATTCCGAGAGAGAGACTAAACTATATCTCTACTACGCCTGCTAGCTTAGCTTCTTAAAAAATGGCTTCCTCCGGCTCCGGCGAAAGGAAACTGGTGAAGGAAATCCCCGGCAACCTCCTAATCTACGACGACGGAACCGTGGAGCGCCTCCGCGACACCGACATCGTCCCTCCCTCCATCGACGCCGCCGGCCCCAACGGAGTCTCTACCAAGGACGTCGTCTACCTCCCGGAGCTCAACCTCTCCGCCCGCCTCTACCTCCCCACCGCCGCCGCCGGCGGCGAAAACCGGAAACTCCCCCTGGTGATCTACTTCCACGGCGGCGGCTTCTGCGTCGCCTCCCCCTTCTGCGCCAAGTACCACCGCTACGTGTCCCGCCTCGCCGCCGAATCCCAATCCGTCGTCGTTTCATTCGACTACAGGCTGGCCCCGGAAAACCCAATCCCAGCGGCCTACGAGGACTCCCAGGCCGCGCTCCGTTGGGCCTTCTCCCACCGGGCCGGAAATGGGCCCGAGCCGTGGTTAAACTCCCACGCGGATTTCGACCGGGCTTTCTTGTTGGGCGACAGCGCTGGGGGCAACATCGTCCACAATTTAGCGATGGCTGCTGGAGACCCGGATTTCGGGCTCAAAGGTGGGATTTTGGGGATGGCTTTGGTGCAGCCGTTCTTCTGGGGGTCGGAGCCCATTGGATCGGAGGTCCAGTTTCCGGATAAGATGGTGAAGGCCGTGGCGAGCCATGTCTGGCCTTATGTCTCTCCGTCGCACCCGGATAATGATGATCCGCAGATCAACCCGGTGGCGGCTAATGGGCCGGGTTTGGTGGGCCTGGGCTGCAGGAGGGTTCTGGTCTGTGTGGGTGAGGCGGATGTGTTGAAGGACAGGGGTTGGCTTTACTACGAGACGCTGAGGAAATGCGGGTGGGCGGGAGTTGCGGAGATTGATGAGACTGAAGGGAAAGGGCATGGGTTTCATTTGTACGAGTTGGAGAGTGAGAAAGCTGGGGCTTTGATCAAAAGGCTCGCGACTTTCTTCAATAGTTAGGGAGATTATGCCGGCCCTTCTGCGAAGAAATCATAAGAAAGGACAGGATGAACCAATCCTATCTCCTGAAACCTCCCACGCAATGATTCCATACGGTGTCGTTTGCTCTTCTTTGATGTCCTGTTTTTTCTTTTATTTTTCTGTTGAATGGCACATTTGGTCACTCGATTTATTTCATATTTGTCACTCAAAATAAAAAAATTTACTTACGAGTCACTGACTACTTTACATCTATGTTTTACCGTTAGTCATTGAACGTTTTTTATTCAATTAATTTTTTCATATGTGTCGGTGTATGATGAGGTTTGAAGAAAATATGGCTCTAAGTATGCTTGTGAACAGATCATCTTAAAGGTTGGAAGTAGGGGAATCCACCAATCTTTAATCTTTTGCTTCCCTGTTTGACCGGCGGTAAAGGGCCATGTGGTAGAGGTGAAGATTGACGACTGAATAAACAAAATGAGGATAGGTTTTGCAGTTTGACGATTTGAATTTTTGATTCGATTTGACTTTTCGTGTGTTCATTTTGTATGACCATCCTGCGCTAAGCACAACTCGCTGTATCTTGGTTTGATTTACTAGGCTTGATTAAGGTGCAAAATCTTGCTTGAGATCCAAAATACATGGGTAGTAGATGAGCTACCTTTTATTTATTAAACGAAATAGGCTGTTTGAACTGGGAATCGGATGAATGGATATTGGGTTGGAGCCAAATAGATTCACTTGTATACCGTTTGATATAAATGAATTTCATAAGTTTTGAGTAACTCATTTTGAAATGAAACATTTTTGTGATTGGTATTTAAGAGATTTCAATTTGAATCCTAAATTTTGAATTCTATAAAATTGGTACTAGTTATAGTAATTTCGAGGAATTGAAATAGGAATTTTCAATTGAATTCCGCAACTATTTACTAATTATAATAGAATGACATAATTATTCTCTTTATTAACTAAATTACTTATATATATGATGTACCAAATACAAAAATTCATTTGGCAATGAATTCTACAAGACAATTCATTTCATTTCTAAAGATTTGAATATAACATACAAAACACAAGATTTCATTTGATAATGTATTCTACACGGTAATTCATTTTGCAACGAAATGAATTCTTGATTCATTTGGTACCAAACGGTCTGTAATAAATTTGGATTAGGGTGGGATCCAATTTGGGTCAACTCATTTGGGTCTATATAATTATACATACGAAAAGGAAAAGCAATTTCGATCATCTAACTATTTGTCTGAAACCAATTCACACCTTCAATATTTTTTTTAAAGACCTTCAATGCTGGTGTTTTCACATTTATGTTTGTTTTGAAATAAAGAAATTGGCAAAAAAAAAACACATTAGAGTTATGTATTCATTTTCTTTTGGGTAGCCAATGTAATGAGTCTAATTTAGACTCAAACTAGATGGTTGGGTATGGGTAGGGCCCAAAACTGATATTACCCTAACTTGATTTGAGCCATGCTGAACTGGATTTGGAAAATACCCAAATTGTGGATCCATTTTGTCATCCTTAGTTTGAACCACAATATGATGTCAAAATGAAACTAGGATGGCAACCAAACCCATGGCCGCGAGTATCTGTTGATGTGACTTGAATAAGACTATCAGCCACTACCCCTGGAAGTCAAGGGGTCTCGCAGCCACAATATGATGTATACATACTTCTCATCTCCTCTGTTATCTGTAATCTCCTCGATATAGTATAATCTGGCTCTCTCCTCCCTGTGGACTAGCTAACACACATTGTGTTAGTGAACCATGTAAATTTTGTGTCGTGTGTCATGTGCTTTCGATTCTCGCTTTCGTATTCTTGCTTTCTCAATTTCGGTGATTTTCCGATCCGTAGCAGTGCAGTTATAACAAGTGGCATCATAACCTGGTTGGAAATCAGGCTAGGATTTCGAATATGAAGAATGATGTCGGTAAACATGAAGATCGATAAGTTCACGGAGAAAAAGATCTTCGCTATTTGGCTAATCAAGATGCAGGCTTTATTGAAATAGCAATGGCTGTGGGGCCGCTGTGTGCGAAACAGAAGGAGGCAGCGAAAAATGACGATGAGTGGAATACCCCTGGGGGAGAAAGCCCGCTTGACCATCATGCTATCGTTGTCTGATGACATCCTCATTGAAGTCGCTGCTGAGAAGATATCGGGGGCTTGTGGTTAAAGCTGGAGAGTCTGTATATGACGAAGTCTTTAACCAACAAGCTGCATCTCAAGCAGCAGTTGTTCAGCTTGAGGATGCAAGAAGGTACGTCTTTGAGGGAACATCTGGAAAAGCTTAATTCGATTTTGTTGGATTTACGCAATATAGATGTGAAAGTTGATGATGAAGATGTTGCCCTAATCCTGCTTGTGTCTTTGTCGAGTTCATATGAGAATTTTGTGGATTCTTTTTTTTTTTTTGGTGAAAAAGGTGCAAGCACCACAACCTCAATTAATTAACCTCGCAGACTACAAAACCGCCAACCGAGTCATACAGGAGCCAATGTTCAACATCCGGATCCATACAGGTAACAGAGAAAGCTCCAGGGTCTAACAGGTGACCCTAATGTGCAAGACAGTCGGCTAAAAAATTAGCCTCCCTATATATGTGACGTATGACCACCTCCCAGTCCCTTCCCAGTAGCTCCCTAAACTGGATGACTAGGTTAGCATGCTAGTGGTTAGTTGGCGAGCCTGGCGATAGGAGAGTGATGGCCGTGGTAGAGTCTAGCTGTAGCTCGACCCTTCTGCGACCAGAGTCCCACGCCATCTGCAGTCCACGAAGAGCACCCCAGATCTCCGCTCGAGTAATGGTACATCTTCCCAGATTCATTGAGAAAGCCCCTAGTAAGCGACCCTGCCCATCTCTAAGCGCACCACCTACAACGGTAGACTCGGACAATCGCAGAAGCGAACCATCCGAGTTCACCGTGATCCACCCTGTCGGGGCTGGTCTCCACCCAACAGCAACGTCTCGACTCAGCCCCGACCTCCCCAGTGATATGGCTTGTTCCGCTGCCTTACTTTTTTGCGCGATGATCTCCCAGGCTAGGATCCTTTGTGATAACTTACTAGAGGGCTCCTCAATGTCTGAAAAGACATAGTCATTCCTCGAGCGCCATAAGAACCAGCAGGTAAAGCCAAAACGAACCTGCTTCGCGGGATGCTTGAGGAAATAAAAGAACCAATCCTTGAGGCTTCTACGATCCGACGGTGAAGCTGCGTCCGGGACGGTCTGCCTCCAAACTTGTTGGGCGTACTTGCACGTCCTGAACGTGTGCTCCGGAGTCTCGTCCGCCTCCTTGAAGCGAGCGCACCTGCTGGAGGGTGTTAGATGTCGTCGTTGCCTTTCCGCGTTGGTGAGTAGCGCGCCATGGGACATGAGCCAAAGGAAGTGCCGCACCCGGTTCGGTCCCGGCCATCTCCAAACATCGCGCCATCCTTGGTGTGTCACGCTCCCATCCACGTCGGCTGCTAGTTGGTACGCCGAACGTAGCGTGAAGTTGCCTTTCTCCTCCAAGCCCCACACGATTTCGTCCTCTCCCAAGTCCTGTTTCGGTGGCGCCATCCCTATAACCTGCAAGCAGAGATCACTAGGTAAGAACTGTTCAATCAAATGGATGTTCCACTCACCTGACGTCGTGGTCATCTCCGCGACTGTCGCGCCAGCTAGGAAGCCTGGTTTGCTCTTCCAGGCGTGCTCTGCTAGCACTGTGCCACCATCCACCCACTTATCATCCCAGAACAGGGTGGAACGCCCATCCCTAACACTCCAACTCACCCCTTCTAGCATCAGGCCCCAAACGCGACGAACTCCCCTCCATAGCTGAGAGCAACGCGTCTTCCTCCTTAACTCTACACCCGTAGGTCCTTCCTTTAGATACTTTTCTTTTAGCACCCTAACCCATAGCTACGTTGGCTACTTCAGAATGCCCCAAGCCAACTTCAGGAAGTAGGCGCTATTAAGCTCCCTAGCCGACCGTAGTCCAAGTCCTCCTTGGTCCTTCGGCAGACAGACCGTTTCCCCGTCAACAAGATGGATCCGTCGACGCCCTTGCTGCGCAACCCAGATGAAGGCGCGTATCTTGCGATCAAGGTAGTCACAGATTCCCGCTGGTAGTACTGCTGTCTGCATCACATATGAAGGGATGGCGTTAAGAACCGAGAGCGCCAGCGTCACCCGTCCCGCAAGGGAGAGGTTTTCAGCTTTCCATCCTGCAAGGCGCTGGTCAATTTTATCGATGACATACTGGTAGGTAGCCTTAGTCACACGACCATGCAGGATCGGGACACCCAAATATCGACCAAGATCCTGTATCACCGGGATGGCCAGTTGGTCACTAATCTCCTTGCATAGGTCGCGACTCAAATGCTTGGAGAAGAAGATCCTTGATTTCTCGCGGCTTACCATCTCACCGGATCCTCGGCAAAAAACATTGAGACACTGCGATATCACCTCTGCTTGTTCTTTACTAGCCTCTGCAAACAAGACAAGATCACCAGCAAAGAATAAATGGGTTAGTTCCACTCCCCCTCTCACGAGTTGGATGGGTTTCCACTTCTTCCACTACAAGAAATTAGGTATTTTGTGACGCACCCAATTTGTCATTTTAGTGTGCCAGTTTGTCACTTTTTGTCTAATGTGACAAGTGTTATGACAAAAAGGCTTTATCAGCTTTGCTCCGTCGTATTAGGTCTAATGTGACAAAGTTTAATTTTTAGGTTGTCATAATATTGTTCAGTCAACTTGACAATATATCGTTGTCATAATATGTTGTCCTACCATGACGAAAGATCTTGTCACATTAGACTGTTAATTTTGTCACACTTTAATACAACCAACTGACTGAACGAGATATTATGAGGGAACTGTTTGTCATTCACATTCGTCACTTTAAGCTGTAGGGCACGTGCCCTTAGAAATCACATATGATAACATAATTTTGTCATATTTTATGTATTCAGTGACGGTCCAGTTTGTCATAATATGGATCTTCTTTGTCGTAATACCATTGTCATAAACTGATAATGGAACATTGTCATAATTTGTTCGTTCCTGTAAGCAGTAAATGTGACAAGCTTACTACACATAAAATATGTCATAAAACAAGCCGACAGTCACATTCATTTAGAAAATGCTGAATATTCAGGGTCCTAGCTCCCAGCTTACAAAGACGCAAAATAGATAATATTCCTGCATCACATCACACACTCCTACATTCTGTTCGACACAACCATATTGTCCAAAATGGGTTTGCAGCCGACAACTACTTATAAATAATTCCGTTCAGGAAAACATTCGCTAAGACGCAACCTCCTCAAGTCATATGAAACACACGGTCGTGCAGGGATGCGTCCACACCTGCAATTGCAATTTGAGAAGAAGCTAGATTGAGACTTCACATTCGTGCATAATTGTTCCTAACAGATTGACTAAGTTCTGTAGATGAAATTCATGCATTCAATAATAGCTATGTACCTGGTGCAATCATTTCCTGCTGAGTTTGGCGAGGACGGATTCCATACTCTTTTGCATCTTCTCTTGTGCCAAGCGCATTTGTTCCATCTTTTTCCCTTGGTTAGCCAAACGTTCATGTTGCAGATCAAGCTCTACTTTATGTTTTTCAATCTCCTCATCCCGAGCTTTAATCTTCTCATCCTGCTCTACCAGCTTGGCCTCCAACTCCTTGGTCTTACTTTCCGCCTCTGCTTTTGCTGCTGCCAGATCTGCTTCCAGCTGAACTTCTCTTGCCGACTTCCTCACTGCTTCTTTAGGTCCATACTTGAGCTTCCTCTGCAAGACTTTCTGAACGATGTCACGACCCAGCAGTGGATTCCCATCTGCCTTTGCTTGGGCATGGAGGGCCAGCATCGCCTCCTATATTGCACCAAAATAAAAGTCACCACCCAAATATACAGGCCACAACAAGATGCAAAGCAAAATAAAAGTCACACCACAGTAACAGGAGGCGCATAATAAACCAGACCACAGTAATAATTGTTCCCTCTTAATTCAATCAACCTATTACAATAACTATACATCGAATATCCATTCATGTGCATGGACTAGGTACACAATATAAGAGGAGCAGAAGGGCTTACATAATTCGCTTTCGGTTCCTCGCTCACCCAAGTACCATCACTTGCCTTCTGGTGAAGGAAATCCCCGGCAACCTCCTAATCTACGACGACGGAACCGTGGAGCGCCTCCGCGACACCGACATCGTCCCTCCCTCCATCGACGCCGCCGGCCCCAACGGAGTCTCTACCAAGGACGTCGTCTACCTCCCGGAGCTCAACCTCTCCGCCCGCCTCTACCTCCCCACCGCCGCCGCCGGCGGCGAAAACCGGAAACTCCCCCTGGTGATCTACTTCCACGGCGGCGGCTTCTGCGTCGCCTCCCCCTTCTGCGCCAAGTACCACCGCTACGTGTCCCGCCTCGCCGCCGAATCCCAATCCGTCGTCGTTTCATTCGACTACAGGCTGGCCCCGGAAAACCCAATCCCAGCGGCCTACGAGGACTCCCAGGCCGCGCTCCGTTGGGCCTTCTCCCACCGGGCCGGAAATGGGCCCGAGCCGTGGTTAAACTCCCACGCGGATTTCGACCGGGCTTTCTTGTGGGGCGACAGCGCTGGGGGCAACATCGTCCACAATTTAGCGATGGCTGCTGGAGACCCGGATTTCGGGCTCAAAGGTGGGATTTTGGGGATGGCTTTGGTGCAGCCGTTCTTCTGGGGGTCGGAGCCCATTGGATCGGAGGTCCAGTTTCCGGATAAGATGGTGAAGGCCGTGGCGAGCCATGTCTGGCCTTATGTCTCTCCGTCGCACCCGGATAATGATGATCCGCAGATCAACCCGGTGGCGGCTAATGGGCCGGGTTTGGTGGGCCTGGGCTGCAGGAGGGTTCTGGTCTGTGTGGGTGAGGCGGATGTGTTGAAGGACAGGGGTTGGCTTTACTACGAGACGCTGAGGAAATGCGGGTGGGCGGGAGTTGCGGAGATTGATGAGACTGAAGGGAAAGGGCATGGGTTTCATTTGTACGAGTTGGAGAGTGAGAAAGCTGGGGCTTTGATCAAAAGGCTCGCGACTTTCTTCAATAGTTAGGGAGATTATGCCGGCCCTTCTGCGAAGAAATCATAAGAAAGGACAGGATGAACCAATCCTATCTCCTGAAACCTCCCACGCAATGATTCCATACGGTGTCGTTTGCTCTTCTTTGATGTCCTGTTTTTTCTTTTATTTTTCTGTTGAATGGCACATTTGGTCACTCGATTTATTTCATATTTGTCACTCAAAATAAAAAAATTTACTTACGAGTCACTGACTACTTTACATCTATGTTTTACCGTTAGTCATTGAACGTTTTTTATTCAATTAATTTTTTCATATGTGTCGGTGTATGATGAGGTTTGAAGAAAATATGGCTCTAAGTATGCTTGTGAACAGATCATCTTAAAGGTTGGAAGTAGGGGAATCCACCAATCTTTAATCTTTTGCTTCCCTGTTTGACCGGCGGTAAAGGGCCATGTGGTAGAGGTGAAGATTGACGACTGAATAAACAAAATGAGGATAGGTTTTGCAGTTTGACGATTTGAATTTTTGATTCGATTTGACTTTTCGTGTGTTCATTTTGTATGACCATCCTGCGCTAAGCACAACTCGCTGTATCTTGGTTTGATTTACTAGGCTTGATTAAGGTGCAAAATCTTGCTTGAGATCCAAAATACATGGGTAGTAGATGAGCTACCTTTTATTTATTAAACGAAATAGGCTGTTTGAACTGGGAATCGGATGAATGGATATTGGGTTGGAGCCAAATAGATTCACTTGTATACCGTTTGATATAAATGAATTTCATAAGTTTTGAGTAACTCATTTTGAAATGAAACATTTTTGTGATTGGTATTTAAGAGATTTCAATTTGAATCCTAAATTTTGAATTCTATAAAATTGGTACTAGTTATAGTAATTTCGAGGAATTGAAATAGGAATTTTCAATTGAATTCCGCAACTATTTACTAATTATAATAGAATGACATAATTATTCTCTTTATTAACTAAATTACTTATATATATGATGTACCAAATACAAAAATTCATTTGGCAATGAATTCTACAAGACAATTCATTTCATTTCTAAAGATTTGAATATAACATACAAAACACAAGATTTCATTTGATAATGTATTCTACACGGTAATTCATTTTGCAACGAAATGAATTCTTGATTCATTTGGTACCAAACGGTCTGTAATAAATTTGGATTAGGGTGGGATCCAATTTGGGTCAACTCATTTGGGTCTATATAATTATACATACGAAAAGGAAAAGCAATTTCGATCATCTAACTATTTGTCTGAAACCAATTCACACCTTCAATATTTTTTTTAAAGACCTTCAATGCTGGTGTTTTCACATTTATGTTTGTTTTGAAATAAAGAAATTGGCAAAAAAAAAAACACATTAGAGTTATGTATTCATTTTCTTTTGGGTAGCCAATGTAATGAGTCTAATTTAGACTCAAACTAGATGGTTGGGTATGGGTAGGGCCCAAAACTGATATTACCCTAACTTGATTTGAGCCATGCTGAACTGGATTTGGAAAATACCCAAATTGTGGATCCATTTTGTCATCCTTAGTTTGAACCACAATATGATGTCAAAATGAAACTAGGATGGCAACCAAACCCATGGCCGCGAGTATCTGTTGATGTGACTTGAATAAGACTATCAGCCACTACCCCTGGAAGTCAAGGGGTCTCGCAGCCACAATATGATGTATACATACTTCTCATCTCCTCTGTTATCTGTAATCTCCTCGATATAGTATAATCTGGCTCTCTCCTCCCTGTGGACTAGCTAACACACATTGTGTTAGTGAACCATGTAAATTTTGTGTCGTGTGTCATGTGCTTTCGATTCTCGCTTTCGTATTCTTGCTTTCTCAATTTCGGTGATTTTCCGATCCATAGCAGTGCAGTTATAACAAGTGGCATCATAACCTGGTTGGAAATCAGGCTAGGATTTCGAATATGAAGAATGATGTCGGTAAACATGAAGATCGATAAGTTCACGGAGAAAAAGATCTTCGCTATTTGGCTAATCAAGATGCAGGCTTTATTGAAATAGCAATGGCTGTGGGGCCGCTGTGTGCGAAACAGAAGGAGGCAGCGAAAAATGACGATGAGTGGAATACCCCTGGGGGAGAAAGCCCGCTTGACCATCATGCTATCGTTGTCTGATGACATCCTCATTGAAGTCGCTGCTGAGAAGATATCGGGGGCTTGTGGTTAAAGCTGGAGAGTCTGTATATGACGAAGTCTTTAACCAACAAGCTGCATCTCAAGCAGCAGTTGTTCAGCTTGAGGATGCAAGAAGGTACGTCTTTGAGGGAACATCTGGAAAAGCTTAATTCGATTTTGTTGGATTTACGCAATATAGATGTGAAAGTTGATGATGAAGATGTTGCCCTAATCCTGCTTGTGTCTTTGTCGAGTTCATATGAGAATTTTGTGGATTCTTTTTTTTTTTTTGGTGAAAAAGGTGCAAGCACCACAACCTCAATTAATTAACCTCGCAGACTACAAAACCGCCAACCGAGTCATACAGGAGCCAATGTTCAACATCCGGATCCATACAGGTAACAGAGAAAGCTCCAGGGTCTAACAGGTGACCCTAATGTGCAAGACAGTCGGCTAAAAAATTAGCCTCCCTATATATATGTGACGTATGACCACCTCCCAGTCCCTTCCCAGTAGCTCCCTAAACTGGATGACTAGGTTAGCATGCTAGTGGTTAGTTGGCGAGCCTGGCGATAGGAGAGTGATGGCCGTGGTAGAGTCTAGCTGTAGCTCGACCCTTCTGCGACCAGAGTCCCACGCCATCTGCAGTCCACGAAGAGCACCCCAGATCTCCGCTCGAGTAATGGTACATCTTCCCAGATTCATTGAGAAAGCCCCTAGTAAGCGACCCTGCCCATCTCTAAGCGCACCACCTACAGCGGTAGACTCGGACAATCGCAGAAGCGAACCATCCGAGTTCACCGTGATCCACCCTGTCGGGGCTGGTCTCCACCCAACAGCAACGTCTCGACTCAGCCCCGACCTCCCCAGTGATATGGCTTGTTCCGCTGCCTTACTTTTTTGCGCGATGATCTCCCAGGCTAGGATCCTTTGTGATAACTTACTAGAGGGCTCCTCAATGTCTGAAAAGACATAGTCATTCCTCGAGCGCCATAAGAACCAGCAGGTAAAGCCAAAACGAACCTGCTTCGCGGGATGCTTGAGGAAATAAAAGAACCAATCCTTGAGGCTTCTACGATCCGACGGTGAAGCTGCGTCCGGGACGGTCTGCCTCCAAACTTGTTGGGCGTACTTGCACGTCCTGAACGTGTGCTCCGGAGTCTCGTCCGCCTCCTTGAAGCGAGCGCACCTGCTGGAGGGTGTTAGATGTCGTCGTTGCCTTTCCGCGTTGGTGAGTAGCGCGCCATGGGACATGAGCCAAAGGAAGTGCCGCACCCGGTTCGGTCCCGGCCATCTCCAAACATCGCGCCATCCTTGGTGTGTCACGCTCCCATCCACGTCGGCTGCTAGTTGGTACGCCGAACGTAGCGTGAATTTGCCTTTCTCCTCCAAGCCCCACACGATTTCGTCCTCTCCCAAGTCCTGTTTCGGTGGCGCCATCCCTATAACCTGCAAGCAGAGATCACTAGGTAAGAACTGTTCAATCAAATGGATGTTCCACTCACCTGACGTCGTGGTCATCTCCGCGACTGTCGCGCCAGCTGGGAAGCCTGGTTTGCTCTTCCAGGCGTGCTCTGCTAGCACTGTGCCACCATCCACCCACTTATCATCCCAGAACAGGGTGGAACGCCCATCCCTAACACTCCAACTCACCCCTTCTAGCATCAGGCCCCAAACGCGACGAACTCCCCTCCATAGCTGAGAGCAACGCGTCTTCCTCCTTAACTCTACACCCGTAGGTCCTTCCTTTAGATACTTTTCTTTTAGCACCCTAACCCATAGCTACGTTGGCTACTTCAGAATGCCCCAAGCCAACTTCAGGAAGTAGGCGCTATTAAGCTCCCTAGCCGTCCGTAGTCCAAGTCCTCCTTGGTCCTTCGGCAGACAGACCGTTTCCCCGTCAACAAGATGGATCCGTCGACGCCCTTGCTGCGCAACCCAGATGAAGGCGCGTATCTTGCGATCAAGGTAGTCACAGATTCCCGCTGGTAGTACTGCTGTCTGCATCACATATGAAGGGATGGCGTTAAGAACCGAGAGCGCCAGCGTCACCCGTCCCGCAAGGGAGAGGTTTTCAGCTTTCCATCCTGCAAGGCGCTGGTCAATTTTATCGATGACATACTGGTAGGTAGCCTTAGTCACACGACCATGCAGGATCGGGACACCCAAATATCGACCAAGATCCTGTATCACCGGGATGGCCAGTTGGTCACTAATCTCCTTGCATAGGTCGCGACTCAAATGCTTGGAGAAGAAGATCCTTGATTTCTCGCGGCTTACCATCTCACCGGATCCTCGGCAAAAAACATTGAGACACTGCGATATCACCTCTGCTTGTTCTTTACTAGCCTCTGCAAACAAGACAAGATCATCAGCAAAGAATAAATGGGTTAGTTCCACTCCCCCTCTCACGAGTTGGATGGGTTTCCACTTCTTCCACTACAAGAAATTAGGTATTTTGTGACGCACCCAATTTGTCATTTTAGTGTGCCAGTTTGTCACTTTTTGTCTAATGTGACAAGTGTTATGACAAAAAGGCTTTATCAGCTTTGCTCCGTCGTATTAGGTCTAATGTGACAAAGTTTAATTTTTAGGTTGTCATAATATTGTTCAGTCAACTTGACAATATATCGTTTTCATAATATGTTGTCCTACCATGACGAAAGATCTTGTCACATTAGACTGTTAATTTTGTCACACTTTAATACAACCAACTGACTGAACGAGATATTATGAGGGAACTGTTTGTCATTCACATTCGTCACTTTAAGCTGTAGGGCACGTGCCCTTAGAAATCACATATGATAACATAATTTTGTCATATTTTATGTATTCAGTGACGGTCCAGTTTGTCATAATATGGATCTGCTTTGTCGTAATACCATTATAATAAACTGATAATGGAACATTGTCATAATTTGTTCGTTCCTGTAAGCAGTAAATGTGACAAGCTTACTACACATAAAATATGTCATAAAACAAGCCGACAGTCACATTCATTTAGAAAATGCTGAATATTCAGGGTCCTAGCTCCCAGCTTACAAAGACGCAAAATAGATAATATTCCTGCATCACATCACACACTCCTACATTCTGTTCGACACAACCATATTGTCCAAAATGGGTTTGCAGCCGACAACTACTTATAAATAATTCCGTTCAGGAAAACATTCGCTAAGACGCAACCTCCTCAAGTCATATGAAACACACGGTCGTGCAGGGATGCGTCCACACCTGCAATTGCAATTTGAGAAGAAGCTAGATTGAGACTTCACATTCGTGCATAATTGTTCCTAACAGATTGACTAAGTTCTGTAGATGAAATTCATGCATTCAATAATAGCTATGTACCTGGTGCAATCATTTCCTGCTGAGTTTGGCGAGGACGGATTCCATACTCTTTTGCATCTTCTCTTGTGCCAAGCGCATTTGTTCCATCTTTTTCCCTTGGTTAGCCAAACGTTCATGTTGCAGATCAAGCTCTACTTTATGTTTTTCAATCTCCTCATCCCGAGCTTTAATCTTCTCATCCTGCTCTACCAGCTTGGCCTCCAACTCCTTGGTCTTACTTTCCGCCTCTGCTTTTGCTGCTGCCAGATCTGCTTCCAGCTGAACTTCTCTTGCCGACTTCCTCACTGCTTCTTTAGGTCCATACTTGAGCTTCCTCTGCAAGACTTTCTGAACGATGTCACGACCCAGCAGTAGATTCCCATCTGCCTTTGCTTGGGCATGGAGGGCCAGCATCGCCTCCTATATTGCACCAAAATAAAAGTCACCACCCAAATATACAGGCCACAACAAGATGCAAAGCAAAATAAAAGTCACACCACAGTAACAGGAGGCGCATAATAAACCAGACCACAGTAATAATTGTTCCCTCTTAATTCAATCAACCTATTACAATAACTATACATCGAATATCCATTCATGTGCGTGGACTAGGTACACAATATAAGAGGAGCAGAAGGGCTTACATAATTCGCTTTCGGTTCCTCGCTCACCCAAGTACCATCACTTGCCTTCTTGTGCGTGTTGGCATACAGCTCAATGTCAACGGGCACTGCATCATCATCCTCAGCATCCTGGTCATCTACCTGCTCCGTTTGAGCTGCTTGTGCATCCAGCTTCTTTTGCTCCTATACATGATAGTTCAAATGTTCAAACATGGTAAAGGTGTGGTAAGTGGCCTGTTTACCCCTAGTTTATGGTCATCTGGTCAAATTCAGATTTGTTGTTGTACAAAGAGTAAATAAAACTTAATGCTTTACCATTTCATACACTCTCTGGTCGTGGGATTTTGCCCCAGTAGTGTGAGCATACTGCTGCTTAGCCTTGTTTTGTATGTTATTTGTGCTCCGCCCCTGCAAACAGAAATGTGTGCTAAGCTCTCATCTTGTACAAGTGTCATCAAATATCCAAACACGGCAAGTTTTACCTTGAATCGATCACTCTCAAAGTGCTCACAGAGGGCCTCCCAGTCTTTCTGTTTCACTCCTTCTGGAGGGTTCAGACGAGCTTTGGTGGGGTCTTCCTGTTCCTTGTAGTGTTTATGACAGGTGTACTTGTAGTTCAAGAAGCGTTTGTGGAGTTTCTTATCTAAAGCCTTCCTCACCTCTTCAGTAGCTGAGGCAAATGCAAACTCGCTCTGCAATTTCATCAAATTCCATGCATTCAGACTATGCAATTGATAATTTTAAATTAACAAAGACAGATTACCGTACCTCTAGTTTCACAAACATAGGGTGTTTGTCTTCATCAGTCAACTCAGTCCAATAGTACTTCCTTATGGGAGCCATCATACGAGCAACGACACCAACTTCTGTGTTCAGCAACTTCTGGTTAGGGCCCACAATTGCGTGGCTGTTCTCCTGCAGGAATACTCCATCGATCCTACTCCCCCCGGTGGTTCGTGCCATCACTTGAACACCTTTGGTCAGCCCTCTCTTTCGGCCACCTATGGATGTAGGTCAAATTATAATCATCCAAAACACTAATAGAAATGTGATAATCCATGTTTCTCAAGTGACAAAAGAAAAGTTAGGATAACACGCACCTGTCTTCTCCGGTTGTTCAGGCATGGATGTGGCAGTATTATCTGCATTCTCGTCAATCTCCTCAATAGGTTCAGTAGTCCTCCTTGGAACCCTCGGAGACACCCGCTCTTCACCCCTCGGAGAGACCGTTTCAGCTCTCGGAGACCCCCCTTCAGCCCTCGGAGACCTCCCTTCAGCCTTCGGAGACCTCCCTCCATCCCTCAGAGACACCCCTTCACCCCTCTTAGACCTCCCTTTACCCTCGGAGACCTGCATTTTTTTATCGGAGACCTCAGTGGACCCATGCACGAGCTCCCTGCATTCTCTACACTCCTCGCTGGATGGGATCTGGTCACTCGTTCACAGACCATCATCGGCTGCTTCCCAGTCCTTGCTTTCTTTTCAGGCCTCGGTGGCATTTCTGCTCACAGTCCAAACAGAGTTAAACCATCAGCAAATTCACAACCACTTATAAACGTATAAACTCAACAAAGATGTAGAGTAATTAAATGCACAGTCCAAACAGAGTTAAACCATCAGCAAATTCACAAACACTTATAAACGTATAAACTCAACAAAGATGTAGAGTAATTAAATGCAGAGTTTATTAACCCAAATTTCATATACTTTGTAAAACAATATAATTAAATGCAAACTCAAATCCTTCTGTACTTGGTTTAAGGGGGGAATGAGTATTTTTTCTTGCACTCGCTACTTGTCATATTCATCGTCACTGTCGATTTCCTCCAAAGGGTTAGCAGCTGCTGCTCCCTCCAAAACATCATCGAAATCAGCTAATGTGTCGTCCTCTTCGACCTCCATTGTATCCTCTGTGTCGAGTAAAACAACCCTTTTTTTAATAACGCTCTCACTGACCATTGTGGGAGCCTCGTTTGCACGATTCAGGTCTTCCAACTCCGTGTCCCGCACTTGAATCACATTGCCAACACCACTCTCTTCTTGCTGAAATGCCTCACTTGCATACACAGGATCATTTATTTCCCCTTCCTCCTTCTTAGGAACATCATACACGTGTCGGGGAGTAACCTTGATGACAATATGCCAAGCACCACCATTCTTTATATCGGGTATATAAAATACCTGATTCGCTTGACCAGCCAATATATATGGCTCATTTTGATACCATTTTCTACCCATATTAACACTAGTAATGAACCCATCTTCCCGTATCCCATGTCTGCCATCTCCTACATTCCACCA